GTTTGCTTACATACCATAGTGGCATGATGCATATCAAATTCCTTGTAGACCATGCGAACGAGCAGAAAAGAAAAAGTGTGGCGCCTGTGTCCAAGTACCAATATACCAAACCACGCACATATACTTATCCATTCGCGTTTCTATACCCTACACACCTGGGTCATGTCTTGGTATCGGATGATGCCTGGCAACTGCTCGAAGACATAGAATGACTTGGGCGGCAGGTCTTGGCCCGCAGTGAACTGGTTGAGATCGAGTACCATCCACTGACTGTCGTACGTGCCTGAGTTGTGGATTCCTGTAGCAGGTGCGTGAAAACAAAGCACGTGTGAGGTACTGACATATTGTGTAAACAGTGTCGTTATATGGGCATGTTGGAGTGTTCAATAGGTATAATGGCGAATATAGATACCTGCATATGTACTAGTTGTATGGCGGAGTTCGAACGGACTGCATGCAACTATGTAGTTCCGCCCAAAATAGGATAACTACGAAACACCACTATACACCCCACATGGCTCTACAACGTATAGAAAGTACACAAACACTCACCCAAAAATAAAAACATTCAGACACTCACTCACACATACATATATACAGACACTCACTCACACATACATATATACAAGCACTCACTCTCGCACACATATATACAACCACTCACACCCACACATATATATATACAACCACTCACTCTCACACGCACATATACAACCACTCACTCTCTCTCACACATATATAACCAATCACTCGCACACACATATATACAACCACACACTCTCACACACATATATATAACCAATCACTCGCACACACATATATACAACCACACACACTCTCACACACAATCACTTACTCACATACCAAAGATCTCAAACCACTCCTCAGGGTCTTCAGCCAAGAGATTGGCCACAGTACCTCTGATCCAACACGGCACGGACTTGTGGGTGATGGCGTGTGTCAGTGCGTTGTTGTAGTTGTTGTTGGTGGTCTCCATCACAAACAGGCCAGTCGTGGTTAGGTAGAAGTCATCCAGCGACCATAAGAACCCTGATGTGTAGTATAAAATACACATACATAAATACATATGTATGAGCATCACAAGTCCCCCAAACCAGCCCCGCATGTGAAGACCCCTGTGTCCAAGTTAGTCAATCCGTCAATATATGTAAAGGACACCGACATATTCGTAGAAAAATACCATGAAATCGAAATGAGGGCAGAGAGTGTGGGTGAATACGTTTCCGGTATTTTCGACCTCTTCACCGACACGTTCACGGACGACATGTACGTCTATAGTATTCGTAACAAAAAAAATACATCGAACGTGCGGCAGACGAGTACTTTAGTACAATTAAAGCCAACATTCAAGACACTGTCGGTAATCCGGGTGATCTATTGGCGACTCGCGACAGGAGCACGGGTGACCCGCAGGTGAGCCCCCCTACACTGCGGTTTGTACATTCCAAGCCCAAGCATGTGGTAGTACCAGCTACAATGTGAACCCACCCGTGCCGCGAGTTGTAGATGACACACCCAGGGTCGGTAAAGCCATCGGCGAAAGAAAAGGACAATATCGAGAAATTCCTGATAATATATAGGGATATTGATCAAAGGAAACCGGGACTACGGTCGTTTGCAGCAGATGTGTATAACAAATTCACCAATGCGTTCGCGAATGATATTTGCATCTATAGTATTCGTGACAAAAAAATCCATCAAAAACAACACGTTAGACTATCATATTGCAGTAACAAATAACATCATGGATACGGTTGCTGGCGACTCGCAACAAGTGCACGGGCGATAGTAGCAGTGTACCCATACCAGTTACACATGTGAACCCCCCGTGCCGTGAGTTGTAGATGACACACCCGGGTCGTTAAAGCCCTCAGTGAGAGAACAAGACGAGGCCGAGAAATTCTTTAAACGATACAATTTTTTGTTGTTGTTGATATAATAAAACCGGATACACGAAAGTTCGTATTATTGGTGGCTCGAGAATTCAGAAGAGTGTTCAAGAAAGACCCTTGCATATATAGTATTCGCGATAGAAACAAGTACGACGAAACATTCATGTTAAACATTGAGGCTACACGTGGACGTCCAGAAGTGCTGCTGGAGACTCGTAACATGTGTACAAAATCGTGTAGCGTTGATGAGGGGAAACCCACACCAACTATCAAGTACCAGCTTATGAAACAGCGGGAAACGGTCTATCGTCCGTTTGTTGAAAAATACAACCAAATTTTGGATACATCAAATAATTGTGCTACTGAAATCGCACTACTCTATCAGCGGACGTTTCAAAACGACACGCACTACTACAACGTGTCTACCAATGCGTGCAAACGCTTTGATACAAACGATTTCGAGGGTTTGAGGGACAATGTCAAACTCACCATGGGGCGACCATTCGACTTACTCGAGTATCGTCTTTTCTGTAATGATGACTATAGACTTGAAAAACAATGAACGATGGAGCTAAAACAATACACAATCCCGGAACATGGGACACTATGTATGATGCGACCGTATTCGACAACCCGTTCCTCTACCATAGACTGGTTTCCATGTATTTTATGGACAACTACATTCTAATCCTGTTTCGTGACTTTCCCAGTGTATGTATTAGAAATGTATGATGAAGAGGATTGTGCAGAGGAAATTCCGTCCGTTATTCGGAAATTTGACAAAGCCAAATGTACGACGCCTTTTGCCTTAATCACAACTGGTTCGCCCACGAGGACAAGCGGACATGTGATGCTTATGATTGTAGACTTTGAAAATGAGACAATTGAAGCAATAGATTCCATAGGAGAAACAGCAAACGTTTTTAATAAACTGCACGTTAAATTTGGTTCGATGCTCACGGAAAAATACAATGAACATTTTGGTACGTCTTTTCGTTTTGTTCCCACACGGGAGGTGTGTAATAATTCATGTGTCCAAAGGAGTGAATTACTTTTCCACATGAAACCATTCGACCCCTTTGTCCGTGACCGGCTTAAAGATCCGACGGGGAACTGTTACCTGTTTACGCACGTTTTATTTCTTGCACGACTCAGTAATCCGACAATGGACACCCACACGGTTCACGCGTACTTGGTCAAGTGGATTGGTCAGAATCAGGACGCAGTACTCGATCTGTTCCGAGAAATGTACCAGGTCATGAAATTGGGTCAAGCCGACTACGAATGGGAATAAATATATATTTTTATTTATCCTATACAAAAAGGAAATGTTGACTCCGTATGAGCGGCTCGGCGTCCGGTCCAGGCATGTGTGGACGGAAGAAACAATGCTATACTGGCGTTCGTTTGGAGGCCACAATATATTTTCCAGTTATAGCAGTTCAGGGCTGCAGGGAGGACATGATCTACTCTGTGCCCTGCCCTACTGTAATAGGACTGGACTGGGAGGATGACCTAGTAGGACATAATCTTCTGGACTGGATTATAAATGACGAATACTAAGGACTATGTGATTTAGATATTCGATGAGCATCTTTGACGGCTTTGGATACAGGGTCGGAGGAATTGGTTAGTGTCTGTCTCTTCTACTCACTAGCCCTACGTTAGAGGGACTTGAGACAATCAAATGTATTACCAAATAATAAACGGTTTTAGTATTACCTAACAGGCTAGCCCACTAGCCATACTACAAAGGTTATATATTTTGTATGGACCAAGGAGTATGAACAAGTATTTATCCGGAGACTCCGCCTGCTCCGGACAAGACAAATTTAAAGTTTGAAATTTCGAAACACTTTCTAAAAAACAATACGTTGTCTCACTATTCAATACAGTCTACTATTAAAGAAATACTAGAGTAGTCTACTAGTGAGTCTTGTCTACAGTAAAATTACAGTCTACAGAGTACAACAGTCTTACAGTTACACTCTACAGACTATCAACAGTTCAGACTTCAGACATCGCGTGTTCAGACTTCAGTCACAACTCTTGTAAGTCACTACTGTCACAATTGTCACAGAGAGAGAGAGAGTAGTCTACACTCTACTCATTCCTGTGCCTAAATTATTCTGTGTCCCGTGTGTGGCCTGGTGTTGTGGTCTACATTTCACCTCAGCTGACCAGAGCAGTGTGAGCTCGCTGAAATGTGAACTGTGAAATGTGAAATGTGAAGACCGAACTTTTATTACTGAAGTATGTGTTTGACTGTTTGTGAAGTTTGTGAACTGTGACTATTTATATAAGCTGTGTTGAAGTCTGACTGTTTTGATCCTCGCAGAAGTCAGAGGGCCGAGACCTCGGCTGAGGCTCTCGCTCTGGAGTCTGGAAGTCCTTGGACTCCTGGTCCTGGATCGCAGGATTTGTAAGACCAAGCCGGCCCGAGTACCGAAATATGTGAGTTTCTGTCATCATTGAAAAAGTGATATTTATGTAGTTATATATATACAGTGAGCGGCGAACCGTTGCCAGACAGTCTGAGTCAGACTGAAAATAGAGTCCTCTGAGAGAGACCTACTCTAGAGAGAGAGAGAGAGTACATACACAGTTACACACTATATAGACAGTAGACTCCTCTCTCTCTCTCTATATCTCTCTACTAAAGTAGAGAGTAGTAGACCACCTAACTACTTCTATTTAAAAAAAACGTTTTTCTCTAGTAGAGTATAGATGTAAAATAGAGCCTACAGTTTCAGATCGCCGTCAGGTGAATGTACATACATACATACATAACTCCGTAGCACAACATAAGCGACCACTCACCGGCTCCACCCCGTCACTGTCAGACTATTGTCAGAGTCTCAGAGAGACACAATCATCCGTGCTCCGAGTTGAGTACATGTACATATTTACTTTACACGATACAGACGGCTTTTACAGCCCGCTGCTCAGTTAGTCATTTACATTTTTATAGCCTCAGAAGGCCGCCCCTGGCCCAGGTCTCAGGGCTCAGGAGCTCGCTCGCGAAGCATTGAAGCACATGTATGATTGAATCATCTGTATTTATCATAGCCCCCTGAAAATCAGAAAAAGAAACAATTGAAGTCTAAAAAAAAACGAAGTCTGAACTTCTGAAGAGTGAAAAGTTAAGAGTGAGAAGTTGATAAATGAAGAGTTGAAGACTGCCTGTGAAATGTGAATTCTGTGTAGTCTGTGATTTACTGATTTTATATTTCAAACTTTCAAACTTTCAGACTTTCAGACTTGAAGTTGAGAGTTGAGACTTCACAGTTCACTCACTTCAGAGTTCAGTCGCTATGTTTTTACTGAGTACTCTATTTCGTCCAGTAATAACATACGGAGTATGGGGTATTTTTTATAGAGTATTTAAATAAAAGTACATCAGGAGTCAGGATAATAGTTGGGTTTCATATGTATTTAAGGACTGGGCCCTCTGGGGACAGTGGGGAGTGGGGACTGTCACGGGGGAGGCTACAGCCGAGGTACTTCGAGAGTTTGATAGCGGAAAATGCTCAGGGAGACCTGATCTAAAATATCACCCAGGTATTGCACCTGTTTCAAAACCGGATTCTGACTGATTAAAATATTGGCCACTTCAAAAATGGACGATATTTTTTTTAGGGCAGTTTGGCTTCCTCTCAACCAGCCTAATCCCAGATTATCCCTCCATGCACCCCGATTTTGCGAAAATTAATCTTTTTCGGTATGTAATTCGCACTTTAAAAAATATCATTTGGCCGACCACAACAAGAAATTTTAAATGTTCTATTTTCAGAACAAGGCTAAATAAAATATTTACATAATATTTACTGTAAACACATAAGTTCAGCCTGTCTGTTGATCTTTACTTGATAGTATGTGTAGTTCTTTTTAAAAAAAAACTAAAAACAATATACATAAAAAGACTTCCAATCTGTGTTCACAACAGTAGTGTGTCACACAGTCACAAACTCACAATTCACAGTTTCACACACATCACGGTCACAAATCACATCACTCATCACTCATAAGTCTGCCTCCGTCATGAAACTCGTGACGGGAGTTGAAATACACCCGACTTAAAAGTTGAATACAGTCAGCGAGTCAGAGGGCGCACTTTTTATTGTACATATCCGAATGCCAATTTTGCTATGCAGAGTATATTTAATTAAATCAACATACGTCGTCGGGCGTCAGGCCGTCAGCTGATTTGTGATTTCAGATTTACAATCCTTTCTGTTAGCGAGATGTTCGAATACACCGGGTAGTTGCAGCTCCAAGTGATAGTTTTTAGTTTCCGCAGCAAGCTATATATACAGACAGCGCTTCATTCACTGAGGTACACAGTTTTAATACTGAAAGTAACATAAAATATTTCAACATCTCAATGACAGGAGTCAACCCAATTAAAGTTGACAATAAGAAGGCATCGTCTTCAGATATAGACATCGTCACAAATGCTCAAGATGTCCGGGGTACTTTTGCAGAGGACAATAATAATGTCTCAGCCGCATTCGCAAGAAAGCTGGATTTTCCACTACCGAAGATTTTCTTAAGCGGGTTCACGCAGAATATTATTGCGGGTCTGGTATGCTTCTGCTGCCCGGGCATGTTCAATGCAATGCAAGGGTTGGGCAATGCCGGAGGCAGTGATCCGTCCGTCTCTGCTGCTATGAATGCCGCACTGTATGGCGCATTCACTGTTTTCGGATACTTCGGAGGACTGTTATTTAATTTGCTTGGAAACAAATTGCTCATGGTCCTTGGTGGTCTCACATATTGTTTTTATGCCATTTCCGTTTATCTCTGGGGACAAGATGACTCGTTTGCCGCCATGGCTATTACTGCTTCCGGCATTCTGGGTATCGGAGCGGGTTGTCTATGGACAGCACAGGGCGCTATGACGCTATCGTACTCTACTGAAGACAAGAAAGGAATGTTCACAGCTATCTTCTGGATAATCTTCAATCTGGGCGGTGTTACTGGCGGTCTCATTACTTTCTTCATGAACATGGGGTCCGATGGCGCTGCGGGTGTCAACGCAGCAACATACTTCATGTTCTGCGGCTTGATGGTTATGGGTGCAGTTCTTGCGTTTCTTTTTATCGTTCACCCGTCAAAGGTCATCAAGGGGGACGGTCAGCTGGTAGTATTCGACAAGGCTGCATCGCCAGTTGAAGAGATAAAGAGTGTGCTGAAACTATTCACCAACAGATACATGCTTCTATTATCTCCTTTGATCATCCAATCGAATTGGTTTTACACGTACGAGTTTGGCGGTATCAACGGAAACTTGTTTGATGCTGAAACCAGAGGTTTAAACAGTGCTATATATTGGGGCATGCAAATGATTGGAGCGTACGTAGTCGGAGCCCTGTTCCTGGACTCCAAAATGATGGGACGCAGAAAGCGTGCCATGTATGGTTTGCTACTTATTTCTGGATTCAATTTCGCGCAGTGGGGATATGCCGCTTGGTATCAATTTTCGTATGGGTACGACAAGGGCAACCAGCCATCACCTCTAATTAACTATAAAGATGGCGGTGTATATTGGGTCCCAGCGGCTTTATACATGTGCATGGGAATCGCGGATTCTATTGTACAAACCTATGCGTACTGGATAATGGGGGCGATTGCCAATTCACCACGTGTTCTTTCCCGTTATGCTGGTTATTACAAAGGTATTCAATCATTCGGTGCATGTATTTCCTGGATTCTCGAGTGGCAGGGCTTGCTTTACAAATGGCAGATGATCATTTGCATAGTGCTGGCTGTAGCTTTCGTGCCGCCTACCTGGATTGTAGCCACGATGGTGAAGGATCACGGAGCAGACGACGACGAAGAGGTTCGAGCCGTAGAGAGTGCTGAAAACGTACTCCGAAAGGATTAGGAGTAAATAAATTAAACTACGATGGAAGCTATACTACGGCCCTTATCTATGACAGAGGAGGAGGAGGAGGAGGGAGGGGGGCCTTCCATTGCGGAGCTTATGAGATGATGATAATCAGGAAATGGGAACGTTAGAGGACATATTTAGCAACAAAAAATTAAAAACAATCTCGACCCCACGAGACTGGATGCCGTCTGGCGACAGCATTTTAAATAGGGCTAGTTGACTGTAGAAGCCGGTATATAATTAGAGGATAGAATGATTCCCGCAGGAGTTTCGCCGAGAGTTTAGATATAGTGTTCCAGGATGGGGTGGTACTTTGGCAGGGGGTAGACCGCGAAGCCAAGTTGAATAATATAATCGTGTGCAACAGAGAGGCTATTTATTATTCCATGCGTGATGGCAAAATGTTGCTACACGACTTGAAGTATGATTTAGTGTTGGTGTCTTTCGTCATATAATGAGCACTTCTACGTTAGTGCATATCATCGACCTTAACACAAAAGTATCCAAAAATAATACGTTGCCAAAAGGTTCACATCGAGGCATACTGACTTTGCAGCTTTCAAGCACTCGATGTATCCAGTAAGTGCTGAAACAGTTTAGCAATATTGTCGGTATACGAGCAGCCATATTGGATCTCAAAGCGGTGGAAGTCATTACCAAATAATATCATGTAAACACATGTGTCCATGGACAGTATGAGTACCAGCATACTTCCTAAATTTTTCGGGACAGGTCACATTTGAATATCTTATGACTATGGTCTTCCAACTTTGACTCTCCTCGCACAAGCTGACCAGGCATACCCAAAGTACTGGCATAAAATACGAAGTGGATACTGGAGTTTCTGGTCGGATGCTGAGCAAAATTTACTGATCTCCATACTGAGAAAATCTGACAGTAGAAATGAAACACAGACAACCCCTCTGCTACGATCGTTCGCATTACACCAAATCGTCATCGGTCGTGCCGAAGAATACCCATTTGGTAATAGCCCAGATACTTTCCAACACCTTCAAGGGTGCACGAAGTAAACCATATAGCCTGTAAATGGAGATATATTGTTTGGAATGGCAATGAAAAGTCAATGACAGTACAAAACCTCGAGCTCTAAATATAGTCTACTTAAGTGTCTTTGCTAGTATGCTAAAGCATGTTGGCAGCCGAAGTGACAAGCGAGGATCAGAAAATGCAACAAAATATATAAAACCAATCCACATGTATCGATGTAGAATGACACGGCAATACACAAAGCAAAAAAAGGGTAGCCCCTTACCAGTCAACGTAAGGATTCGCAATACAATTCTCGACTTCACTCTCATCTTTCATCTGAAACCAGTCACACTCCAAAACATCGTAGGCTTCGATTCTATCAGCCTTAGACTTTTGTAAGCATTCCAGAATGATGCTTTGGCACATAGGGTCTACCTCCCAGGGGAAGGTCAGGTAGTTATTAAGCACTTGCCGTTGTAATTCAGCCTGAATCACAAATCGGATATAGGGATAAGTAAAATAAGAGTTCGGCAATTTCCGCAACAAATTTAACACTGCATCTTTTTCGATGCATCCGGTAAGCTGACGATCTGACTCATGGGACGCGTAATTCGAGACAGATCTGTGTTTAATATGATTGATACCTTCCTTGGAATCGGTACGCAAGAGAATTCGACGTAAATTTACGCACGATGCCATCCTGAAGTTACATGCATCATCGTGCAAATGAATGAACCTGGCATGTACAGTTCAGAGGATTTGAAGTTTCAACAAATGTATCAAGTACAAAAGAAATATATTTTGATAATGCATACCATGCTTAAGCCCTCAAAGGGGGTGTGTCCGTATACGAAGAGATATAAAGTAATTCCGGCCGCCCATACATCAACAGCCCCCGTCAACTGATCCTCAGCTTCCCACTGTGTTTCATAACCATTTGAGCCATCCAGGAACAACTCTGGGGCGAAGAATGCCGGACTGCCCATCGTACGTCGCACCTATAGACCATAACAGCGTACCATAGTCGCCATAAGTTGCCTTAGAAATGTACGCTCATAAAGTGTGTAAGAATGCGAACAATGTGACATAGTACCCCAAACATAATCACTCACAAAATTACATGAGTTCTCTATGGCAACCACGGAACACGAAAAGGCCGCGTCCATAGAAAAACAATTGAATGATATTCACACATTTTTGCTAATCACAAATTTTACTGTGTATAAAGCTCCACCATCGATGACACACACTATGGTCAACACAAATTCAATCACGCACCGATATGCTACTAGCTTGTGCTGATCCGAAATCGCAAATTTTGATGTGCCCTTCACCAGATAACAGTAAATTTTCTGGTTTTATGTCCCGGTGTATGATTCCCAGGTTGTGCAGGTAGGCCAAGGCACTCATGAGTTCTTTGAAGTATCGTTTCGTCGTTTTCATATCAAGCAGCGGATGTCCCTATATGAGATATAATCACGAGAGTTTCAGTTGCTTGCTAAATTTCTAAATATATACCAGCCTGTTCTCGCCATGATGCGTTCCAGAAACAACAGCCGCCAACTTTACACAAGTGGCTCAAACCTAAATTAAAATCACGAACCTTGACGATAAAAAACAATAACGCTTGTAAAATAGTAGCTCCCTAAAGTATCAATACTTAACTTCACACGGGTTGAGAGTGGATTAGTGCATTTGACAGAATAAATTATGTAAGCCTGCAAGTAAGCAGACAGTTTGGTGTAAGAAGTCACATGAACACAGCTAGCAAAGGCTACCTTCTTGAGCATGGATGATATGATAAAGTACACGCGGAAAAGTATGAAAGTTAACGCAAACTAGAGGAATGTGTAAGGGATGACCACCTAGCAATCTTAGGCACAATGACAAATACGAAGTCAATTTTGAAAGGTTACGCTAAAAAATATCAATGGAAAGAATCAAATGAGTCAGCATACTAGGGGCCAGCTGAATACGTACCTCAGCATCTGCATACTCGATGGTTCCTCCGGATAGGTATTCCATGACTAGATACATTTTGTTAATACTCTCATCATCAATGACCTCATATAAGCGAACAACGTTGGGGTGATCGAGAGTTTTCCATATATCTACCTGAAAATTGGAATAGTATAATTTATATTGGTATACAAAACCTTTCAATAATTATTCCTGGCTTAATATAGGAGTTTTTGTGGTGATATTGACTAGATCAATGCCTCAATAATAAACTCTATTATTTCTACTACACGCGTATTCATCTGCGCATGATGCGACGCAGACTAAATGTCTGAAGTGTTCACGAAGCTAAAACACAGCTTAGATAGGCTTGAGGAACATACACAAAGCATCATTTCGATAAAAACCAAACCAGAGAGCTCGCCACAAAACCTGTCTCAAATCATATACATGCTGCATACAATTCGCGTAGTAAACGGTCGCGTCGACACGCGCATATGCTCAGCAGCATTGGAGCAAAAAATCAGACACGCAACTAAAAAATAGACAAGCGACTTAGTTACCAGCCAGGGTATGTATAGCATGTACACGGCAGTGTGAGCTATAACATAGAGCACATCACCTCGTTTCGGAAAGACATATATTCAGCTTTTCGTGCAGATCCAAAGTGATGCCGCGCCGCTGGCCGGCGCACGATTTTTAATGCAAAAATCTTCTTCTGACCATCCTCGCATTTTTTGACCTGCAAGCGCAATAAGACGGATAATTTTGCCTAAATTCAACTAGGAATTGGTTGAGAATGTTTGGAACGCACGGTACTATCTTAGAAGCAGTACTCCAGAACCAATGTGCTGCGCGCATACACAATGTATGTATTCCATACTGCGAGACCCAGTGTGACGATAATTACAAAAAATGTTGTATCAAAAGAGAATATAACAATTGAGAGCGTGGGTTGCAAAAGGAGTGCGGCACGCCCATGATACGTCCATACGCCATGTAGATTGAAAATATAATTCACGATAACGGAGTTTCTTTCCGCTTAGAGATTTTTCATCAAACTTGCATAATTTCGTATAGAAAACGAACATACAGAATGTTTTCCGTAATTTGCGTCCATCCTGCGGCGGACAAAACTAACTCAGCAAAGGCTGCACTAACAACTGAACGTCACAGTGACTAGTAGCTATGCATTATTAATGTAGCAACTTAGAATGGTCATGCCTGTGTACTCTATGCTTACTGAAGCAAAACTTCACATGATCTCTCGTCAACAGACTTTATGACGTAACAAATGTGAACATATCCCAAACCATGAACACACAAAACTAACTCAGCAAAGGCTACACTAATAACTGAACGTCACAGTGACTAGTAGCTATGCATTATTAAGGTAGCAACTTAGAATGGTCATGCCTGTGTACTCTATGCTTACTGAAGCAAAACTTCACATGATCTCTCGTCAACAGAATGTATGACGTAACAAATGTGAACATAACCCAAACCATGAACACACTCGCACATGCTCACAAAATCATTTATGTACACAGATAGACCGATACATGCACATATGCATGCACAAAACGGAATAAAGGTGTAAACAAGCAACACATGCATGAACCGCCGTAGATAATGGCGCTTGATGATTGATTATATACACACCTACATACGAAAAATATCGTGCAAACCCAGAGGTTGAAAAATGTAAAATTACGTTTATATATATATATATATATATTTACATATATATATATATATATATATGTATATACATACATACATACATAAACATATACATATACATATACATATATATATATATATACATATACATACATACATATATATACATATATATAAATCAACACATACATACATACATGCATATATACTTACATACGAATATATACAAATATAAAGAAAAAGATACACACACACATACACAATATATATGTCTATATATATATATATATATATATATATATATATATATGCGTATATACATACTTTTACATAAACCAAATAAATACTCACCCATACAATATATGTATATGTCTATATCTATATATACATCTACATAACACAAACACACACACACACACATATATCTATATTTATATGTACTTTCAAATATACGAATGTACATAAACATAAACACAAAAACACACCCACACACTCGTACACACACACAAATATACATATACATAGACACACACACACACACACACACACACACACAT